GATTAGCATTTGATTGCCTGACAATTTTTAGGTGTAGCTTCTTAGTGCCTGGGGGAATCCTTTGTTGAGACGTGATTAGCTGTCCCTGATTGTTTCTTGTCTGGAGTTCCCCTGTGTTTGAGTGTAGTTCTTTATTTGCTGTTTTAATTTTAGAGGTTTTTTTTTTAAAATACTGGTAGCCAGATTTTGTTCATTTTCATGGTTTCTTCCTTTCTGTTGAAATTGTTCACATGCAAATCAAAGAACATGACTACTTCAACCAGAGAAGTCAGCCATAGGAGATCACCTGACGAACCAACCTGGACACAGCATATTATTTGAGAACACAGAAATGCTGGACCACTCTAACAACCATGTCAGATTACACAGAAAGGCCACTGAAATCCACAAGAACAATTTCAACAGAAAGGAAGAAACTATGAAAATGAACAAAATCTGGCTACCAGTATTAAAAAAACTCTGATGTCCTATGTCAGTTCTTACAAAAACATCTTTTTCATCTATATCTCTGTTGTATACAAATTAGATATCAGTTGCTATTGTTGTTAACGTATTTTGGAGATCAGCTCCAGACTGAGGCTATCCAATCTTTAGGATAATAATCTAAGCATTTATTGGGTTGCTGTGAGTTTTCATGACTGTATGGCCATGTTCCAGAAACTAGTGACTCTGGTCATGAAAGCCTTTGACAAGACATTAAGCATTTATTGTCCAAGGATAAACACTGGTTAATCCCCCCCCCCCCAAAAAAAAATCACTACATTTTAACTAAACACACACACTGTTTCAACTATGTATGTTACTTGGCTTACCTGATGTCAGGCTATTTGTACTGAAAGCTTGGCTTTGCCGATAGACAATGTTAATAATGTAATTGTCAATGTCAGCTTTCAGCATTTAATTTCCCTATGACCTCACTGTCTACAATCCCCATTCTACCTTCCCCCCAAAACACGGTGGCAGTCTTATACCTGGAATTTAAGATAACACTTCATGTATTTGATGACACAAGTTACAGGAAATGAAAACTCACACTGTTTTAACACTGTTTGTCTTTAAGGTGCTACAGGATTCTGTGTGGTCTTTCTTGCAACAGCCCAACACAGCATTAATAATCTTGTCAGCCTAAGCTACAGACTGGGTTGTGAACTTGCTGCAAATTGTTTAGAATCATAGTATTGCTGTTGTGGGTGTGTGCTTTCAAGTCACCTGTTCATTTCATAGAATCATAAAATCATAGACTTGGGAGAGACCTCTTGGGCCATCCAGTCCAACCCCCTACCAAGAAACAGGAAATCACATTCAAAGCACCCCCAACAGATCCAGCCTCTGCTTAAAGGCCTCCAAAGAAGGAGTCCCCACCACACTCCGGGGCAGAGAGTTCCACTGCTGAACAGCTCTCACAGTCAGGAAGTTCTTCCTCATGTTCAGGTGGAATCCCCTTTCTTGTAGTTTGAAGCCATTGTTGTTCTAGTCCCCAGGGCAGCAGAAAACAAGCCTGCTCCTTCCTCCCTGTGACTTCCCCTCACATATTTATACATGGCCCTCATCATGTCTCCTCTCAGCCTTCTCTCCTGAAGGCTAAACATGCCCAGCTATTTAAGCCGCTCCTCACAGGGCTTGTTCTCCAGACCCTTGATCATTTTGGTTGCCCTCCTCTGGACACATCCCAGCTTGTCAACATCTCCCTTCAATTGTGGTGCCCAGAATTTGATACAGTACTCCAGATGAGGTCTAACCAAGGCAGAATAGAGGGGTAGCATAACTTCTCTGGATCTAGATACTATACTCTTATTTATGCAGGCCAAAATTCCATTGTCTCTTTTTGCCGCTGCATGACATTGTTGGCATATGTTTAACTTGTTGTCCATGAGGACTCCAATATCTTTTTCACATATACTGCTCTCTTTGCATTTCATTTTTTCTGCCTAAGTGGAGTATCTTGCATTTGTCCCTGTTGGATTTCAATTTGTTGATTTTGGTCCATCTCTCTAATTTGTTAAGATCGTTTTGAATTCTGCTCCTGTCTTCTGGAGTATTGGCTATCCCTCCCAATTTGGTGTCGTCTGCAAATTTGATGATCATGCCTTCTAACCCTTCATCTAAGTCATTAATAAATATGTGGAACAGCACCGGGCCCAGGACAGAACCTGTGGCACTCCGCTCGTCACTTCTTTCCAGGCAACCCCATGAAATTCATAGGGTTTTCTTTGGCAAGGAATACTCAGAGGTGTTTCTGGGAGTCCCTTCTTCTCAAAAATAGCCTATGGCACCTGGTATTTGTTAGTGATCTCCTATTCAAGTAATAACCTGCTTGGCTTCTAAGATCAAATGGAATCTGGTGTTTTTAGGGTATTTGTATTACTAGTTTATTTACAGGAAAAGAAATCAGGAACTCTGGAACATGCCCCAAAACAAAATTTACTTTAACTTAAGATATATAAAATAATTTATTCAAGTTCCACCCTTGTTTCTGCAAGCTTTCTCTCCTAGCAATCCTGTTGTTTATGATATTTGCCTTACTTCTTGGGTATACAGCAGGTATAAATATAGCACTCATTTTAGAAACCAAACCTCATAAATATAGAAGCTAGACACTATTCAAAATCTATGGGCATAAATTGATACCCAATTCTCATCAAGATGTATCAAAAAGAGAAAAAAAATACATACACATACAAAATCCAACTACCTGGATCTAAATACTGGGATTTTAAATATTACAGCTTTGTCACTGCTTTGAATAGTACTTATGTGGCCACTGCAATATACAAGCAAATATTTGGACAAAATGGATAGGACCATATACAGGCTGTCTTCCCAGTCAAATTAAACTCAAAACAATGCAGTTACCTCAGACATTCATCTGCTTTTCCCCTGAAGGAAACCTTGAAAGGATTGTCTGGTCTCAGGGAAGTCCTACATACAAACTATTATATCGACATCTATAAAAAAGGCTTATTTTTTTCAACTTGCAATTTGTTGCCGAACACCTAGCAACTTCTCACAGATCCCTATAAACTGCCCTGAGTTGCCCTCGGGCTGAGAAAAGCGGTATATAAATATGGTTGATAATAAATAAATAAATAAATAAATAAATAAATAAATAAATATAATGCTGGGGAATCCTGGTAGAGGAACGGTGATCAATATTATATGGAATTCTGGATCCAGTTGTATTACTACTGCATTTGTTTATAAAGCTATTGTCCTCCCAACCCTGCTCTATGCCTGTGAGACGTGGACTGTCTACAGACGTCACATGCAACTCCTGGAACGATTCCATCAGCGCTGCCTCCGGAAAATCCTGCAAATCTCTGGGAAGACAAGTGGACAAACGTCAGCGTGCTGGAAGAAGCAAAGACCACCAGCATTGAAGCGATGGTCCTCCGCCATCAACTCCGCTGGACCGGCCACGTTGTCCGGATGCCTGACCACCGTCTCCCAAAGCAGTTGCTCTACTCCGAACTCAAGAACGAAAACAGAATGTTGGAGGACAGGAAAAGAGAATTAAAGATGGGCTCAAAGCCAACCTTAAAAACTCTGGCATAGACACTGAGAACTGGGAAGCCCTGGCCCTTGAGCGCTCCAGCTGGAGGTCAGCTGTGACCAGCAGTGCTGCAGAATTTGAGGAGGCACGAGTGGAGGGTGAAAAAGAGAAACGTGCCAAGAGGAAGGCGCGTCAAGCCAACCCTGGCCGAGACTGCCTTCCATCTGGAAACCAATGCCCTCACTGCGGAAGAAGATGCAGAGCAAGAATAGGGCTCCACAGCCACATACGGACCCACAAGAATATTGGAAGACAATCATCCTCGGAAAGCGAGGGATCGCCTAAGTAAGTAAGTACTGCATTTCTTCAATTCTAAGATACAATTTTACATATATAAACATCTCTAAAAATGGAATGAGTCTTGGAATCACAGGTGTATCTTGTATATTTTTGGTGGTGGTGACGGTACGACAATCAATGGTGTCATACAAATGAAGAAATAAGTACTGATAGAGGATACTGATACTGATGTACTGATACTGATAGAAATTACACAAAAGCAAGATTATATGCCCTACTTTTTTTTTTGCTTGCACAATGACAATAAATTCTGTAGCTCTGTAATGCCATGCTAATCTACCACAGTGCAGCTTTCCACTTTGTCACACAACTCGTATTCTATTACAGGAAAGCCTGGCCATCAGCCTCCCAAATTGACTCTTGCGATTCCAAATGGCAATCTAAGGTCTGCACATTTAGAACATTTTTTTTTAAAAAAATGCTTGGTCCTTGGCACAATGAACTAATCAGTGACCGTTCAATGGAATCTGGAATTCCATACATTATGCTAAGCTTATAGTACAAGTCCACTTGCTCCCTTAAGTATCTGAGACAGGCTTCCTAAATTGCCTTGGAAGTGCCCAAGGATGCAACCATTCATCTCCTAAAGCACATTCAGCCATTCTCAACCCAAGACCAGCATCTTGACAGCTACAAGAATTCTTCAAAGACTCCGAGTTGGGATTGAAGTATGACACTCCACCAAACCCTGTTGGACCATCTGGAGTTTGCTCCAGATCCATAAGCTGTGTAGGAGTCTTTGTGGTTCAAATATATAAATAAACATATGGACCTGTACATATTTTGACTTTTATATACATAGATAGATTACAGGTGATTCCCTCTTATTTGAGGTGCATGGGCAAATAAATAAAAAATGACTATGGCTCCAATTTAAGGAATGAGTTCATTCCAAAATTGTTATCTTTCTATGCTGTTAGTAGCAGTAATTGCCAACATCTCCTTACAAGGGATACATATGCTCTTTTCTGGCATGTAAACAACTTATAGCATACTTTCTCAAGATATCTTATGAAACTCTGTGAAGATTAACCACTGCAAAAAACAAAACAAAAAACGGGACTCAATTTATTTTGTTTGCTGAACCTTTCATGTTTTAAGTTCACACTCCTAAAATTCATAGTGCGACTTTTAAAAGAGTAAATCTTACCTTGTCACTGTCCACTGTATTCTGAGAAGTCCTGGATGCAATTGAAATTGTATCAGGCTGGCTGCTTCCATCTCCTTGGCTGTCAGCATCCTCTCCTCCCTCTCTGCTTGGAAGGAAGAGGAAACTTTCGTCAATGAACTTGTAAACAGCTCAATTAATGTGCAAGGAATTACTTGCACAGCTGAGCACACATGTATTACAATTCAATCAGTAATTTAGAATGATGATGTCACCACTACCATGAGATTAACACATAATAACCATGTTTGCTCTTTGAAATTGGCTATCCTGGGCTTACACAATGACAACAACCTATCTCAAAATAGCTCTGTAATGAGCGTGGCAGGCCAGTGCCCCATACAGTTTGGATTTCTCAGTTAACCAAACCCAGCCATGAAAATTATAGCCCTGGTGTTTTGCAGAACTGATGTCAGTTCCCAGGAATCATTTCTTAGTTCTCACATTTTCAGTGGTTTAAATTAGGCAGCCACCTCAATTTATACATAAAAACAAAAATATGAGCAAATTTTATTATTCTTCCATTTCTTGTACTTGGCAAGAATCTGGATAACTTCTCACCCTTCCCTCCAACTCATTTCTGTGTAAGACACATGTTTGCACAATGATAAATTCAGAAAAACAATTATGCCAAGACCCAGTCTTTTTTTCAGTGGGACAAGTGAATCTTCTAAGATCTGCTTGCATTAACTCAATGGAAAGTAATATCAACTGTGTTGTAAGATCCCTGTATCCATAGGCAATATGTTCCTGGCCAAGACCATACTTAAATGTATCTGTGGATATGTCTGAATGCCATTGATTCACCTGATATCCAGTCCCAGCACATCGCAGAGTTGCACTAGGAGATCTAAAGATTCCTGGAGAGGATACCTTGTTAGGTGCTCCAGCATGACTCTGTTCTAGTAACTTCTGGGGGAAACATATCATAGAATTGCTTAGAGGACCTAGCAAAGTTTGAAAGAGACCATTTTCTCCTAATGCAGGTAAGTAAAACTAGTCCCACTGTGGTTATGGGGGCCTTATTGTATAGCTCTAAAATGAGAATATCTAGGGAAAGTCCTTTTCTTCTAGAATCACAAATATATGTTTGCCCCATGATTTTTATGTTGTGCTGTCTAACAGGTTTATATGCTGGACCAAATCCAAACTGTTCAAGCATTATCTTATCCTGAAACTTAAAATGTAGTCTACTTTAGGGCCAAAATTATATAATTATTTCTCTCTCACTATGTGGATAGTTAAAATAGTTTTGTTCTGCACTTATACTCTCTTCTCCCCATAAGAAGCAGTGCCTCTCTATGTGAAAAAGCAGGCATTTCCTAAATTTCCCATTCTTCAGTCTTTCCGGCACAAAGGTTTAATCCATTGCGCCACTGGGGGCTCCATTATGAGTAGTGATGTGCCCTGAGGTGGATATGAGGATAGAAAATTGTCCTCCAGATCCACAGAACTTACCCTATCATGCAATGAAGGTATTTAAAAGGACACCTCTTACAAGAAATTGTAATTACCTCTTACTGTTGTTTCTTTGCTTCACTGGGGTTTTAGGGAGCTGTATTGGCTCTTTCAAAGCTCCTTTTAAGTGGATCATCCTTTCCTGTATCACTTCTCGAATATTTTTTATCCATTCTTGTTTTGTTTCAATACTGGATGCCTAAAAAAATTGACAAAGCAGATGAAATGATGACATTTCTCACATATGAGCCTACACTTTACTGTTTCACTGCTGTTCCTTTGTCTGTATTAAGGGACTATGGGTAAGCTGGCAACATTTCAGGTGCCAAACATACTTCACCAGCTGTGAGAGAAAGAGCGAGAAAGATAAGTGTTGGATAAATAAAATATATGTACTATGCAAAATACAATATGCCTTGAATTTCTCAAACAAAACATGTATTGTGCATGATCCTTGTTAATATAAAATCAATCAACAAAACCCCCCGGTTTGCTCAATTCGGAGGAAAATCGCTAGAGTCAAGAGAGCAAGTGATAATGGGCAGCAGCTGAAAGGAGAGAGATGGCAAAAAGGATTGTGCCAAATATTGTCTTCTCTTCTGCTAAAAGTAATGAATAGTAAATATACCCCTAGTGTCACATTATTAACACTGCAAACTACTTCATTTTAACCTCATGATCTTTGGGTTTGTACTGAGAAAAAATTGCATTTGATTGTCCATTCATTTTAATATTTATTATTAGAAATTATGTTTTGTCAACATTCATTTGGGCCACTTCAACTATCTCTAGCAATATTTGGCCCGAAGCTTTGAACAACTCCTTCATTGAAAATATTTTTTAAAAATCTGGTGGATTTGTCCAGAGCAACAAGTCCACATTGTGTTTCACATGAATTACTTCAGATTGTACAGGAGCTGAAAGTGATGAATAATACACCCTTTGGATACTTCTGCATTGTATGTCTCACATAATTATAATTTCTTGACTCCATCTGTTCCACAAAGTAGATGTGTTACAAACATAAAACCAGTAAATAATAAATTAAATATGTGAACTTTGCAGATATGCTTAAGCAATAAAATGTATAGGATTGTTAATGAGATAGTTTGAATTCTATTGAGAAAGCATCCAAAAATACTATTTCTCAAGACTGAACTGCAAACTGTTTTTATAGTGTGTGACAATATTATATCTGTGTTTAATTATTGCTAAAAACAAATGCACTAAAAATAGAAATAAGAAAAACTGCACTTACTTTCAGCACTGTTTTGTTATCTGAAGAGGGAGTTCGTCCTGACCATAAGGCAAATTTACAAGGATCTCCTTCCACATGTTCAGTCACTCCCAGTTCTGAGGTCTAATGGAAAGGAAAGATAGTTTGGAATTACTTCAAATGTTATGGAACTGAGGTAAAGCACTTAATTCTGCATCTTCATGTATTATTTAATTTCCCATGTGCTTTGTGCTTTGCAGAGCAGGTAAAAAAGTAACACAAAATTAGTCATCATGGGTTAGGACCATGCAGCTACTAATTGTTTACTTCTTTGAAACTTGTTGCCAGAGCTTACACATTGATGATTTTGGTTAATGAGGGCACAATGATATTCTATTTCAAAATTTCATCAAGTGAGAACAAAGATTTTTTTTAAATGGTATATGTGCTGGTATGTAATAAATAATGTTTTAGTTAGTTTTAAAGTTAGGCTGTTACGAGTTTTCTGGGCTGTATGGTCATGTTCCAGAAGCATTCTTTCCTTAAGTTTCACCTCACAACCTCTGAGGGTGCCTGCCATACATGTGGGCGAAACGTTAGAAGAGAATGCTTCTGGAGCATGGCCATATAGCTTGGAAAACTCACAGCAACCTAGTGATTCTGTCCATGAAAGCTTTCAACAACACAGTTTTAAAGTTAATTTTAAATGACATTTTAAAGGCACTTTAATGGATTTTTAAACATTGTACATCACATTCATTTCAAGTTTTTTTTTTTAAAAAACCTAACAAAAGAATGGAAAAGCAAAAATGCAACACGAGGAATCACTAAACTAATTTTGCAATGGCGATGGCAATGATTTATTTTTGTGAGCTTAGAATGAGTTAAAACAGTGAATTTAGTTTGAACAGTAACATCTTCAGCTCTGGCAAAGATCCTAAAGCCCATAAAATATTGATGGAAGCAGACATACCAGCAGTCTATTCTTGTAAACATATTTAGTGTGTCCTGCAGAATCTTTGATCTCTTTGCTGAAAACCAGAGAGATTTCAAAGAGAAACAAGTGCCTTTCACGGCCCTTTCGAATGAGGGACTTGGGATCCCATACTTGGAATGAATCCTGAAGAATCAGCTCTCCTTGAACATCCAAGTTTTCATCAAATCCTAGAAATTAAACAAATTAGCAAAAATATAACAACGAGAAAAACTTATTTAGAGAACTCAAAACAAGGGAAGAGCTTTGAATAGGTTTTTAATCAGGTTTAAATGATTTTAACTGTTTCTTTTTAATACTGTTAACATTTAATTCTATTTTAATGTTTGTATATTTTTAGGTTTTAAATTATATTGCACTTGGTTTTACCATAAGCTGCTTTAAGTCTCTGTTGTAGAGAAAGCGGGGTATAAATAAACACCACCACCCCATCAAAGTACACATGTGTAACCTTTAGGCTGGACTCCTATTGATGCCAGTATAAAAACAGTAATTTTTCTTCGTGGTCTCTGCGAATGCACACTTGTGGAGAGACTGCGCCTGCGCGGGCTCCAACGGAAACTTCTACTTTTCAAAAACTTTTCAAGTTTTGGCGGTAACCCCGCCCAGCCCCGGCAGGGGATAAAAGGGCGCCCCGCGCACACCGATCCAATTCCTTTTTTTCCGCCGCACGGCTCGCTTCGGACTTCTAGGAATAGTTGGATAGTATAGCGATTCTCTTAGGATTGTCTCTCGAGTTGTTGACCGGATTATGTCAACAACTCGCTTCAAAAGATGCGCGAATTGTCCGAGGAAGATTCCTGATTCGGACAAGCACGCTCTTTGCCTTCTGTGTCTCGGAGAGGCACATATTACTTCTTCGTGTCGTCATTGTCAATCGTTGACGGCACAGTCCCGTAAGAACCGGGTTCATCGGCTTCGGTACCTTCTGTACCAACAGATGTTGGCCCCGGTACCTTCAACATCGACATCGGCGTCGACGTCGGCTGCGGTATCCGGACCTTCGACATCAGCCTCGAGATCGAAGGCATCGACATCTACATCTGCCGATCCCTCGACGGAGGCCGGGCCTCGCCAGACAAGGGCGAAAAAGGCCGCACAGAGAAGGCCAAGACCAGCCATGTCGACAGTCTCGAAGGCCTCTGTGTCGACAGCTTCTAAGGCGGCAAAGCCTACGAAGCAGAAGGCTCCTTGCACGGTCACGACCGAGACCGTACGCATTCGACACTCATCGACCAGCTCGGTGGCGTCGGTGAGATCGATCAGGTCCACGAGGTCGACGTCAGCGACCCCGCCATCTTCCACGGCGGTTCGCATTGCTTTCCGCCGGTCTCAGGAAGAGTCACGGCGTGCTTCCACCTCATCCTCCGTTCCGCCCACCCCGGGCAAGTCGGTGTCGAAAACAGCTCAGCCGCCGGCAAAGAAGAAGAAGACGATGCCGCCCCCATCCTCGTCTTCCTCTTCTTCCCGAAAGCAGACCACTGCCTCCTCGGCCACCTCGTCTGCGAGGTCATCGCCGATACGGCCTGCTGAACCTCAGCTACCCCCGCAACCGGCTCAGGTCCCACAACCCGGGCCGGAGCAGCCTTCGGAGCAGCCCGAGTCCCCGGTGATCTCGGTGGACACGGTGATCGAGGCACCAACTCGCCATGTGACAGCCAGACAGGAGCTTTTCCCGCCGGTCACGACGTTGACTACTGTGACAGCCAGACAGGAGACCTCTCCAGTGCTGGAGACTCCAGAAAGGGGCAGACAGACGATGAGACTAGCCCGTGCCATTCAGGCCTCGGCTTCTAAAGTCCCCCCAGTGGCTCCTCTGCAGCTCGCGAGTCGGGATGTTTCCTCATCCCCTCCTCCCCGATCCTTGGCTGCTGACGATGAAGAAGATGGCGAGTTACCGGGATCGGTACACTCGGGATCGGTGTTGTCTCTCGGGATCGAGAAATCACCGACCCACGACGCAGAGACCACGAAGAAAAATGGTAGGTTACATACCTGTGACCATCTTTCTTCGAGTGGTGCTCTGCGAATTCACACTAACCCGCCCGGCCTCCCCTCTAGCAAACCTCCAATTTCTCGCTACCGTAGCGGCGTAGGAATTGGATCGGTGTGCGCGGGGCGCCCTTTTATCCCCGGCCGGGGCTGGGCGGGGTTACCGCCAAAACTTGAAAGTTTTTGAAAAGTAGAAGTTTCCGTTGGAGCCCGCGCAGGCGCAGTCTCTCCACAAGTGTGAATTCGCAGAGCACCACTCGAAGAAAGATGGTCACAGGTATGTAACCTACCATTATACGTGTTCCCTAGTGCAGCCAATGCTTTTGCAAGCTTTTGCACGCAAACAGCCCTCTTTGTCTCACTTTTGAATTGGTGGGTAAGGAGCTGTTCGACCATGGCACAATGGCTGAGAACAAAGCTGTAACACAATCAGTTGTGCAACTGTGGGATCCACCCTAACTATGCTGGCATATATTTATGCTGCAGTAAACATGTATAGAAGCTTAATCTTGCTCTATAAATGCCATTTAATTCCTGGCTTCCCTGACCACCTTGCCAGCTCAAGTCTGACTTGTTAGATCACAAAAAAAAAAAAAATCTGTTAGATATGGGGATAAGTATTTACAAAGAGCAGCCACCTATCTAGGGAAATACAGAAAATGATTTCCTTTGTTCACCTCTATGGATTTATAAATGTAATAGTGTTGTCCTTTCAAATTCTGTTTACCTTCCAGCATGCTGACATGCATGGCATCATTGGCTTTCTTAGGGACACTGAGCATTACTTCCAAACCATCCTTGAGTTCTCCCTTCCCTTCTTCACAGCATGTTAAAAGTTCCTGAGGACAAATATAAAACAAAGCACAAAGTAGCTCAAAGTAAAACTGCATCCTTATGGGTTTTGCCACTTCCTTCCTTTGAAATACAGCCTACAGTTCATAATATTCATTGGTGGTCTTCCACCAAGTAATAACCAGGGCTGAACCTGATTAGCTTCCAAAATCATATGGGAGTATCCTATTTTGCACTTTAAAATAGATATTCTGACATGTTTTTAAAGCCCAAAACTGCATCAGATTTTTACAGATTTAAAAAATTGGTTAATTTGTTGTAAATTACATTACTTTGGGAATGACAAATCAAGTCTCTTCATTTTCAGATGTGGCATGAACAAAAAACTCAAGCACATCTAATTTTGGTATGTGATTATGTAATTTCAGCTTTACTCAGTGATTCTCTTTGTATGTGTAGAGGCCAGGTATTAGAGAAAGGACCTCTATAGAATCCATGTGATTATGAACACTTTGAGTTTTCCATGTGATTAAGAGAGCAGGCACCCCCTGTCCTTCAAAACTTTATCCTTGCTTTGTTTATAGCATACAAAATCTGAAGACAAAATATTGAAAAATGCTTTCAAATTTTAATTAATTTAATATGGATTACAACCTCCACAATGGAAAAGTTATATATTTGTTTTTATTTGTCTTAACACACACACATGCAATATGACAAGTAATGGAATAAATAAAAACAAATACTGTATAGACTCAATGGGATTATTTAATGGAAATAAGTAATTGGCTGATAAAATGTTATTATAAGTGATATAAAATTTTATTATAAGTTAAAAAACAGTGTTTTCAAGTTCTGGTTTCCAACACAGCTCCTTATTCATGATATATTGAAAATATTACGAATTACCCTAACGTAATCAGAACTGTCTGATTTTGTATCTCATTATATTCTTGAGAAGGAACAATATTCTAACAGCCTCTTCCAGCCACCTGGAATGAGGATTTTATCTACCAACCAAGGTAATGGTTCAAATAATTTCAGGTTGTGTGTGCAATGGAAAACAGAGGCAGCAATTTGGCTGGAACTTGCAGTTTGGGCATTTCTGTGGTGTAGGCATGTCCTGTTGTACAAATATTACCTATCTTTGAACTTGTATCTGTAATTCAGTAATGCCTGTTCAACCTATAGATGTGTAAACAACAACATCACAAATATGCAATGCTTTTCCTCCCAAAGGAAATACGCCATGTAAAGGATGCCCTAAATTTCTCAGAGTTGAGCAAAACAATGTTTTTTGATCAAAGCTTCTTGTTGTGTCACTCTTATTGCCCCAATAAAGTGAAAGGTAAAAGCAGATACCAGCAGTGAAAAGAATGGTAAAGCAAATGTTTATTTATCGCTGCTGTTCAAATGGCTTTTTAGCATGTTGATATTATCATGATAATACTTCTGGATATTACTATCCACATATGAATTCATAACCAAAAATTAAGGGCCCATCTACATGGATCATATGGGCTGACAAAGAGGTGAATGGACTCCGTGGCAACCACAAGATTCACAGGATCCATTTGTCATAATGCAGGAGAGGGCTGCTTAACAATTACTGTGTTTTACCTGGGGACTCAAATGCATGAATTACACCTAAGCATGTTGTATTTTAGGTGCACAGATTGTATTTGGACATCACATCTCTACATGAATGTTAATAAATGGAAAAACATGCTGAAATGATACAACTTAATAATTCATCATGAGTGGTCATTGATAGTTCTGTCAGTGGGACAGTTGACCATTCCAGGTAATAGTTCAAACTTTTAAAATAATTAAACTTATTATAGAGATAGAGAAAATATTAATGCTCAAACTAAAACTCAAAGTAGACCATCCCTTCCACTGACATCAGAGCTATTACCCAGTGCTGGTCCTCATCACTCAAGCTTAAACAATTTACTAATTAAATCATAGTCTACACCAACACTACAATGACCATAAAACATAAAACCAAATGCTAGAACTATTGCTGATAGCTTTAGATAGACAGGAGTGATAAAAGAGACAGGAAAGAGAGGGAGGGTGGTTCAAATGGGGACCATATTTGTCAAGAAAAAAGTAGTAGCAGGGTCCAGAAAATGGTCTGTAGGAAATTAATGTTTTTTCTTACCTAAATAATAGCATAAGAATAATAAAAATATACCTTCAATAGAAGTTGATACTTGGTAATCCTCTGGACAGGTTTGATTAAATATGAGGAAATAGAGTTTGCCAGACCGTGCCTTTGTTGAATTTCCTTTAAAAAGGTTAAAAGAAAACCAAGATGCAGTAAAAAGATATCAAGAAATTGCAATGAAAAATTTCTAGATTGTTTTTAAATTTCAAAATTGGCAACACATAATCACTTTGAGCTATAAAGTAGCCAGATCTCTGAAGCAAGTCATTATTACCATGTAGTTTTTCGAAGACAACATTATACCATGCCAAACATTTCAACCTCCTTTATAGAGAAAAGATCTATGCAAACACACCAATTAAGGTTTACTTGAAGTAGAAATGACATTTGTCATATTTATAGACATTTTAATAATATAATTTAACTCTGTCAATTTCTGGATGGTAATTCAACATTTTTGTAATTCTTGCTGATTTAGAGGGTTTATAAAAGTAAGCACTATCACAGTCGGATTTAGGCCAAAGATGTTTTCTGTCTGTATTTTATCTACATTGCTAAGTGCATTGACAGAGACACTGATCAGTACTCAGTAAAAGGGCACAGGAACCATAAAAGACAACTTGTGTGTTGCCTTCTCCCCTCCGATTTCAGTCAAAATATTTCCTCCTCTAAAAACAGTAGCTAAGGCCCACTAGAAAAAATTCAAAGGAGGCAACACTAATTTCTGAAGGGACTTAAAGCAGTCTCAAGCAACAGCAAAGTCCTTCTTCCACATACGTAGCGTAATGAAATCTAGGATGCCTGGCAGATGAGTATGTGACTTTGACACTTTGCTCATTTTTTAACTTTTCCACATGACAGTATAAAAACACATACAACCTGTCATGGTTCCATTTAGTATACAAATATGACCCCTGTAGTCACAATATAATGTACCCTGCATCTGACAAAACAGAAATTTACTAGGTCCTCCAGGCAATTTTATGTTATGGACATTATCCTAGATTTGTTTTGGAGGACCTAGCAAATTTATAGAGAAGATATCTTTCCAGGAATTTTTTTTATTGTTCCTCTAGTTCAACTCTATGGTAACTTCTAGCAGAAATCATTGATTTCAATTAGGTATGCTATTATCTGGTTTCCTGTTTCCATGATAAGTTAAGGAATGTATCTCCTCCAGATCTGGGAGTCTTAGTACCCTTCCACACAGCTATGTAACTCAGAATATCAAGGCAGAAAATCCCACAATTTGAACTGGATTATCTGAGTCCACACTGCCATATATTCCAATTATTTATTTTATGTGTGGAAGGGGTCTTATTTAATTCCTTCATCTTCCTGTTATAGGAAATGTAAAGTTGGTAGGCTCAGTAAGAATAGTAAGCACTGTTCTCATAAAGAAGATGTGGGTCTGCAATGTGGACTTTACTGTTCTGGTTCTTTGAGAAAGTGAGAAGTAGCAGGCAGAACCTTGCTACATGACAGGACAGATGCCGAGCAAAAGCAGTTGGCTGTGCTCCAGATGGGATCGTGCTTCAGCAATAAGGGGAATGATTTACAGTTCTGTCCATGACTGACTCACACTTGCACAAGCAGTTCAGATTACTACAGTAATATGCATGAAAAGTAGCATATAGATTGGAATTTATGATAATCTTATATGTATAGTTTTTTCCACTATAATCAATCCTGGGGAAATGCTTCCCAGCACACACACATTAAAATGATATTATATAATGAAAGAGTCACCTTTAATGTCCAAACCTACACACACTGGTTTTCACATGTGCGTCCTATAATTTTATTTGGTTACTAAGTATGCAATGTTTTTCCTGAAGCACTTCAGCTCAGTAATATTTAAAACGCAGACCAACGTATGTTCATAGCTTTAAAATCTTCAACACCAAGTTCTTTCTATGCTGGAACAGGGCTGCAAGTGTACTGGCCCCAATTAGTCCAGATTTTCCCTACTTTTTTTCCTTTATTGTACAGAATGGTATTCCATGCCCCTATATAGGGAAAACAGATCCTAGTAGGAAACAATTACATTCCAGTCTGGAATAAATTCTGGTCTATTATCTATTATCAGGAATTGCTGGTTTGTCTCTTCTAGTTCTTCTGGGGGTTACTCGTGAAGGTACTGGAAGAAAATGTAGTTATAGCTGGATTTTGACGGCAACTTTAGTGCTGTCAGTATGCTATTAAAAAGTAAATTCAGTTTAAAGTTAGGAGACAAAAAACCTGCCTTTGATGTCCACAAGACAATTAATCTGTCTACGACTTTCTACTCCCACACCTTCTCTTTTGCAAAACACAATTCAAGAGATGCCAAACCAAGCCAAGAGTACTTTGCAAACATTTTACAAGACTTGAGTGACTTTATTAGGAGGGAGCAGTACACAGTACAGCCAAATTAAAGGAGTTTAACCCTCAAAATGGAAAGAAGCCCAGCTTCCTTTCTTCCAGTTGCTTTTTAAGACAAAAAGAATTTGCTAACTTATCAGGTTTTAAAAAATATTCTGTTTGCAAAACATAAATGGGCTGAAATATTAACTTCTTGGCATTAACCAATATCAAAAGATTTCCAACCCATATATCACAGCTGGGCTGTAAAAGCTTAGCCAGGCAAATACTTCTTAATCTGTGTCAACACCCCGTTAAACATGCAAATCTGCTGAAATGTTTTATCCTTTCTGGAAGATTTTGAGCAGACTGGAATGCCACCTGCTGGTTACTGGATTTAATTGTCATACATAATTTCACCAAGGGGAGAAAGATAATTTGAAAAGAGACTCCTGTGAAAATCCTGTTCAATTAAAACTAATAATACTCTCTTTATCTGTCTTTTAAAAACACTTGAAAAGCTGTGCACACTCAACTGAATTCAGAAATTAAAATAAATGCAATATAATGAAGCACGGTATATAAGGCTATCCCATGGAATCAGGAAAGAGAAGCTCATGGGCTGCATGTGCCCCATGTGTTTTGTGCTCTCCAAGCTCAGAAATAAAAATGGATTAAAACAAGGTAAAATCATCAGAAATGATGCAAAGACACCTCAAAGCAGTTTTATCAGCTTTATTCCCCACAAACAGTTGGGAATAGCCTGAAGACAAACCCAGAAGTACCAGAAGGGTGTTGTCTCAAAACTGGCCCTCATTTCTCTTTCAGTGGTCCATCTCTTGTTTACTGGTTACATCGAGATAGTTGTTGGAAGGTGGTACTGTGCAGTAAGAAAGACTATTCTGTTTCCAATCTCTAATCTCTGAACACTGCTCTTGATTCAGAGCAGAAGGAGATTGGCTCATTCATATAGTCAATGAGGAAACTGGAAGGGGAGGGTGAGACAGTTTTCATCAGGTAAACAGTGCTGGGGGAAGAACAGGTTGCTTATCTGTACCAGTGGTTCTTAAGATAGTTATCTATGAACTCTCACATATGGGTTAGTCTGTGCCTGCATGGCAACTGTAAGAACTGTAGTGATCTGAAAAGCATATCTGAGCAGAAGCCGCATAGACATACTATGGCAATTCCTAACAGAGTGCATGTTGGCAAATCCCTCTGAAATGCCTTGACTGATAGATGGTGGGGGGGGGGTACCAGTGGGGGGACTTGAGGTTATTGAAATTGCTGGGAGGTAGACCAAAAGGGAAGAGAGTGATAGCCCCAAGAAGAAAGAATGGGTTCGACCTACAAAACAGGTAGGGGGAATGGCATCCAAATGGAGGAAGGATAAGGGAATGGATGGGTTGTAGGGACCAAACTGCTAGGCCAAGAGTCTGAGTAAATTTGGCAGCATTTTTGGCATTCCTTCTGTATGAGTGAATTTGGCTGGGTGCAAACCAGGGTTATCAAGATTTGTGGTGGAAATCCCCAGAGCCATGTGCATGAGGAGTCAGTCAGGAAGGAGCTTCGGCTTAGAGACATTTTTCAGCTCTGGAAAGTTCTCACAGTTCCTATGAAGGTGCAGAACAACCATATGTGTGAATCATAGAGATCATGAAGGGGTTAACTCTTCTCTCACAACAATGCAGTTCCAGTCTGAAATACAGTTGGAACTTGGTTGAAGGACTCCCAAATGCCTCGTCTAGGGTTGTCCACAAAATGGTACAGATTAAGCAAAAGTATATTCTATTGTTCTCCGAATAGTGTCAAAAACAGGGGAGGGGGTGCTAATAACATGTAAGTCTTATTTGAATAATGCAGGTAGCACAATTATTTTTTATTGATAAGGCTGATATTGTTGCCCTCACAGTTCCACAATGAAATTTGAGGATGCATCTACATTGTAGAATTAAAGCATTTTGACATCACATTAACTGCCTCGGCTCAATGATATGGAATCCTGGGATTTACAGATTGATGAGGCATCTGTGGAAAGGTCTGCCACAATGGCTGTCTAGTGTAGATGATTTGATAAAGGGGGAAAAACCCACAAAACTACTAGATGAGATCTCTCTGAAAGATTTAAAACTATACAGTTAGAGTCTGAGAGAGAATGAGACAGAGGGAGAGAAGAGAGACTGAGAAACAAAACTGCAGTACAAATCACTGCCTGATCCAACCAGGAAGATGAGTTATTACTTACATCAAAGAACGTTCCCGCATGCTCTAGGATCAGTTGGCTGGAGTCAGGCTTGTTTTTGCAGTAGGTAACATACATCTGAAATTTATCCGCCTATGAAAATAAATATCAAGTGTGGGTGGATGGTAGGGACAAGATGTTTATATAATTTTCCATTGAACTTCCAAAGAACAAATACGTATTTCTAAGAATACCACTGATTAAAGGAACAAAGAAAAGTACAAGATATGCTGAATAGGAGAATACTGTAGGAAAACTACAGCTAACTTTCACTGTAGATGATTTTTCTACATAACTCAAAATGTGTCTGCCTCTCAATACATTCATAAGGCAATTCTACCCATTGACATTTCAAATATTTTAAAACATCCCTTTTTGCCACTGAAATACAGTTTGCACAACAGCTACAATTAGGTTGTCAGAAATAGTCATGTCAGGAGCTAGTGTTTTCCAAAAGTCTAAACATAAATGGACAGATTGCTTAGCTGTAGCTGTGGGTTTGCAAGTTTTCCTATGTGAACTCACATTTACTGGGCATCTTGTACCTGTGCAGCTAAAACTGGAAGGAAACTTCAAGAGTCAGTTAATACTTTCAGCGAGAATCTCGCCCACTCCCTCTTGTGTTGAATACTAGTCCCTTCCTGCCCAATGCCATCAGTTTATTTTCATCGACCACACTAGAAGCATTATAGGCAACATACTCCGTACAAATAGAGGAGTTTCACTTATGAATACAGTAAGATCTGTGGGGAATATGTTCCTAGTTGGACCACATAAAACCAATGCCTGACATGGGCAAGATTAATGAAATGACCAAACAGGCACAGAATGGCTTGTAAATGTATTTTACAGAAACTACAAAGAAGACTTTATATTAAACACTGATATAATTCTCATCCTGCCTCAGACTTGCACTTAGGTCACAGCAGCTTTTTAATTACAGAACCCAGTATCTATTAGCAAATATATAATGAAATTTTAAAATTTTACAATATGTTTTTCTACATCAGGGAGGTAATAGTGTAGCCTCCAGATATGGTTGGAGTAAGATTCTCCACAACTGGCTTTGTTGCTGGGAATCACAGTTCAACAACACCTGGAGGGCAAAATCTGGTTAATTAAAGGGACAAAGTAACATGGAACTGGTTAATGAAAGGGACAAGAGACTAGAAAGAATAACTTTGTATCTATAGATCCACTTAACAGCATCAGCCATTGACAAAAGCTGGATATTTTATGATAAGTTGCAAGTTATTAGTTGCAGTCATTGAATTTTATGGTTGTTGTCAGTCAATGCAGAATATCTTCCATAAACAAGTCCATTTTTCATAAAATAACTACTTAAAATTACATAGTTAATTGCCTTAGCCAGGATAAAACTGCTGAGTCTCTATTACAAGTGCTTGACATCAATTAATAAAACAGTACTATGTTAAGTCTCATTACCCAGGTGACAAAGCAATGACCCACGTCTTCAGGGAGCTGTTCATATTTTTCTAGTTCTTTCAGAAAAATGCTGAAAACATAAGAGACAGAAGCCAGTTAGAATATGCTTTGGTCTTACTTCACTTTTGCCAATCTACAGATTTTCTTTTTCTTAAAAAAACCCTTTAACATAGAAATTATATGTAAAATCACCAAAAATCTACACATCTGCATAATATCCACCACTATTAAGTGATTATTAAAAAAATAACTAAACAGAAAGGGAAATAAAACAAACAAACACAGAGAAACATTGTCAAACAATCTACAGATTTTCAAATAACAAAGTCCTAATGCATATTTATATCAATGATAAACTTCTTCTGAACCAATCTTGTTAAGAAATTCCTGTGACAGGCACACTTTAGTATCATCGTAGGTTGGACATAATTTGAGGGCCAACAACAGAATTAAATAACCCGAGTCTCTTTGAAATCCTGTTAGTCTCAATGAGGTTTGAAGAATATTACCTACATGAGACTTAAACACATGTATGGGAAAACACCCCTAACTCGCTTTAATAAAAAAGGAGTCCTAAATTCACTTCCAATTTGTAATTAAATTACATAAAAGATATGCAGAGTCTGGTATTCCATTGATCTTATAAAATACTTTAAATTTCTCTTAAAATTCCTATACAGATTTGAAGGAACTCTGCTCACATTAAGCCGAGATGAGATACTGAGATCTCATTATTCGGCCTGCGTAGTGGAGCACCATCACAAGACAATTACATGTATGAGCTGCAACATCTATCTAGCATTGCCATATCGATCTCTCTGTCATATAGAGCAGTGTTTCTCGAGCTGTGCTCCTCCAGGTGTTTTGGACTTCAGTTCCCAGAAATCCCAGCCAGCTTACCAGCTGTTAGGAATTGTGGGAGCTGGTCCAAAACATCTGGAGGAGCACCATTTGAGAAACACTGATGTAGATAGTAAGCTTCTGTGGTAACACTCAATACTCCTGGAGTTTATATCATTGTTTATTCGTTCAGTCACTTCTGACTCTTCATGACCTTATGGACCCGCCCACGCCAGAGCTCCCTGTCGGCCGTCACCACCCCCAGCTCCTTCAAGGTCAAGCCAGTCACTTCAAGGATACCATCAATCCATCCATCTTGCCCTTGATAGATGGCAAGATGGCCCTTTTTCCTTCCATTTCCCCCAGCATAATTATCTTCTCGAAGCTTTCTTGTCTTCTCATTATGTGGCCTCTAATACTTCTTCTGTGCCTCTAATATCCTTCACTCCAATGAGCAGTTGGGCTTTATTTCCTGAAGTATGGACTGGTTTGATCTTCTTGCGGTCCAAGGCACTCTCAGAACTTTCCTCCAACACCACAGTTCAAAAGCATCTATCTTCCTTCACTCAGCCTTCCTTATGGTCCAGCTCTCACATCCGTAGGTTACTAGAGGGAATACCATTGCTTTAACTATGTGGATCTTCATTGCCAGTGTGATGTCTCTACTCCTCACTATTTTATCGAGATTGGTCATTGGAGTTTCTATCACTGATGTGGAAACCCTTTACCCAAATGGAAGGATCCACATAACAAAGCATAGTAGAAATTACATGTGTCTCTGTGTTTGAAATGTCACTAGAAAAAAAGGTGCCTCCACCCTGTATCAGGTAGGCCCTGCCAAATATGGCCAACTAAAGTCAATGACACAATTGCAATTATTACAATTATTTTGTTTTACATAATTTACCTTTCACCCTGTCTCTACATTTTAAAAATAGTTTTTAAGGCAGCAGATAGACTGTACAATAAAACAATTAAAACGACCATATTGCAAGCTCAATAATCAATAAAACTCATTAAAAGTCCCTTACATCCACTCTGAAATCAACACACACAAGTGGGCCTCCAAGACAGAGATTTAAAGAACACTTGCAAATTTTCTTGCCTTGGAATGAAAAAAGAACATCTTGACACATGAAGACATGCTGTTCAAAAAAATAAAGACTCCTTGTGAATGCCATAACATTTTTGTTTGCATTTGGGGATTTTTTTTGTGGGAAAAATCATGTGCATCCAAAGCATTATTTTTGGGCAGATGCCAACTTTTTGCACAAAGGAAAAAACTTGTCGGAACTTCTGAAGTTTTTTGAGTGTAAGAAGAAAATAAGCAAAGATTGCATGCCTTTTTGACAGCCTATGGTACTCAAAAGGTGCCTTTCCAGAAGACTTTACTACATGGTTGTAAAGGTAAAGGTCATGTGGCCAGGATGACTGCATGAAGCACAGTTACTTTCCCACCAAGATGGTATCTATTGATCTACTCACATTTGCATGTTTTCAAACTGCTAGGTTGGCAGAAGCTGGGCATAACAGCCAGAGCTCACCCTGTTCCCTGGATTCAAACCGCCAACCTTTTGGTCAGCAAGTTCAGCAGCTCAGCAATTTAACCTGCTGCACCACCAGGGGGCCCTTCTTACTATATGGACAAGATAGGAAATCCCTTTGGCAATCACCTCCATGGTGTTTAGGACTTTAAAAGCAATAGTTTAAGTTGTACCCAGAAAGGATGGACAAAATATAGATTATAATATGTTATAGTACACGTGATATAGCCAAAGAGAACATGTTATAAGGGGACTTTTCTTTCAGTAATAACAAATACATACTTATTATGAAAGTCGTAGATTTCCTGGATGTTGCCAAATATTATGTGCTCTTTGTTAAGAATCCCTGGTGGTATCTCCTCAACTCCGCTTGTCATTTCCCAAAGATAGGTCTAGAAGACAACAGCAGTTCTTAAACACAGAAAAGAAGTACATAGCAGATAGATCGTTTCTTACTAGAGGCACAGAATTGCTGAAAAAATATGTGGTTCTAATAATCAATCCACAATTTTTTTACAGGTTGCAGCTATTTCAGGTGACACAAAAAATAACAGTGAATGCTAAAGTGCAGACAGTTCTGAGGTAAAGGGTTTTTGTGCTTTACATGCAAACCTTTTCCTGAGTACCAGTCTGACTGTTAATTTTTCCCCTGTCACTCACACAAACTATTGCACTGTATATCTTTAGAAAATGGCAACCTGTCAGTCCTGAACACATCAACTGCACCCACAGTCACATCATTCCACTTATCTAGAAAATAAGAACTTTTCACAGATACAGACTTGTGATATGCAAACAGCGTGAACCTCCCATCTCATGTGAAAAGCAATGAGAGCAGCCTGAAGAGGACTGTGAATCTCAATGTGGGATTCATCTGCTATAAGCAATCTGAGCAGCTGGAACCATCCTACCACCATTAAGGTTAAAGACAATAACAGGGTCTCTTTCAAGTATTTGAAATCCACATCAAATCTGATTATATTATCACAAGCAGAGCTTGGAAAAGTAATTCTGGCTATGTGATTCTGAAATAATTGTTTCAAAATTCTGAGATTTTATGAAAATACCTCAAAGTCGCCTCAGACAAACATGCTTGCCTTAATGTATTGTCGAAGGCTTTCATGGCTGGAATCACTAGGTTCTTGTGGGTTTTTTTGGGCTATAGAGCCATGTTCTAGAGGCATTTCTCCTGACGTTTCGCCTGCATCTATGGCAAGCATCCTCAGAGGTAGTGAGGTCTGTTGGAATTAGGACAATGGCTTTATATATCTGATATATAAACCCATTGTCCTAATTCCAACAGACCTCACTACCTCTGAGGATGCTTGCCATAGATGCAGGCGAAACGTCAGGAGAAATGCCTCTAGAACATGGCTCTATAGCCCGAAAAAACCCACAAGAACCTAATGCTTGCCTTAGTTGCAACATACCTCTAAACATTCGTGCAAATCCCTGACATAGGCCTTCTCTGTTTGAAGCAGTTCAGCCATGATGAATCTGGAAGTAGAAAAGCTTATGAATAATTTTTACTAAAACAATTACTCACAATCATAGTGTACAAGCCACAGAGAAAATTTTATGATGTTGTCCCTTCACTTAAAAGGGAGCTCTTTGACCCAGCAAGGCCTTCTTTATAAGAGAACAGTAATGTTAACTTTTTGTCTTTTCCTTTGAAGCTCTGCATACCTTCCAAAATCTGTGCCACCAGTTCAAGGGACCTTCTGAATCAGCATGGAATAAAGCTGGCTACTACAGGAGAAAGGTTTTTTTTTTAATGCTTACCTCACTAATTCCAACAAAAGCTTCACTGAAGGCTTCCTGAGCTTTCATCTACACCAGGCATTTTTTTTTTTGCCTTGGGGCCACATTGTGGGCCTGACTGAGAGGGTTGGGCTGGTAGAGAGAGGGCCTGTGAGAGGGTGGGACTGGATGGAGGCAGGTCATTCTCAGGTTGTCCTCCTGGCATAAGGATGGGGCTGCTCGGCCCATCCTTATGCTGGGAGGAAAACTAGGCATAGGGCAACTGCCCCAATCCTCCTCCCCAATCCTCCTCTCCCAATCTTCAGGTTGTCCTCCAGAGTGCTCCTGAGGGCTCTTAGCTATGTATCTATTCTGACTTACATATAAATTCAACTTAAGAATAAACCTACATAACTTATTTTGTTTGTAACTTGGGGACTGCTGGAGGTTTTTCAGATCAGTGATGATATTAATATAAGGTGGACCTGAGCTGACACAACAGTGGAAACATCAGTTACTACTTTGAATAAAGGAAACAAGTTCAAAGGGCAGGTTGATTTGATTTAAAGTCTGTTACCTCGACCAGAATTCTCTTATTGTGTTAAATGAAAGACTTGTGGAGATTAACTATGTAAGACTAGCATCTAGTAGCAAAAAGAAAACAAAAAGCAAAAGCTTCCAGCAGACAAAAATAACCACTAGATTCAAGACGGAAGCAACTAAAGGAAGGAAAGGGTCACCGGAATTGCCCTAAAAATCATCAGGCATATAACAGGAAGTGTTGGAGGAATTGAGATTGATCAGATTGGAAATGTCAGAAACGGGAGACGATTTACAATAGGAATTAAAACAGGAATTTAGAAAAGAATTTAAGGAAGATTGACAATCACTGGGAAAAATGACAAATTGAAACAAATAAATGAAAAAGTGCAAACTTCACAAGAAAAAATGGAAAAGATGGACAGAGAAAGGGGTTTGGACATGTTACTTTACTAAAAATGGGGGGGGGGAGGAGGAGGAGGATAATTTTACCTGAGATTGTGATTAACTGTGGAGCAATTCAATGAGTACCCAAAGGGAAGAGTGGTTGAGGTGTGGGAAGGAAAAGCAGTCCCAACAGATGACCACCCAGTCTCTGTTGAAAAACTCCCAAAGAAGGAGACACTCATCTTGATTAGAGAAAGATCACTTATGTTATTCTTAATGGACTGAAAACCCCTGATTGACTTTTTGCAAGAAATAGAAAAGAAAGGATAAACAATGATGTACTAACTGTGGATTTTGACTGTTTGTTAAGACAGCATAATCAGAAGAATCATATGTGGTAGTTTTTAGCTGAATAGGTAAGACATATTGCCAATGTTCATAACCACTACAAATAAAGTTGAATATCTATTAATATGTATCTTCCTGTGTATCTCAAGCACTTCTTGAGATACTTTGTTCCCCCCTTCTATTTATTAGTTAATTGTTTCTCTTTTTAATGGTTGCAGTTGTCAGTGTATTTGGAAATTGTAATGAAAATATATATTAAAAGAAAAGTAAATGTAAAAATAAGATAAATACTTGCAGAAGAATGCCAGATACTTGGCAACATAAATATTTCTTAATATTTTCCCTTCCCCCATTCTGCAATGGTTCAAACATCAGTTATTTTATATTTTTTTCCTGTAATATGGGAACCAATTTGGAAAAAATATTATGGTACTTTACATCTGATGTTTTATGTTCAAGCTATCTCAGCATGACTATATAATTTACATAATATTTGCATGATTCTATAAACTGTAAAATTTCTGGAACCAAGAATAAATGGAAATGCTGGTAATCTTACTGAGGTTATATAAACAGAGTTTTTATCTTGATAAATACAATGAATAAATATTTAGTCATTCACATCAGAAAGAACAACCACTTGTATAACATTCTGTCATAATGTAGTTTGTGTATAATGCTTTTTCATGTTCCATTGGGGGCAACCATACACTTCTGTTCAGCCTTTCAGGGATTCAGGCAGCAATAAAAAGCAAGCTCCATGCAGATTTCTGTATTTCAATATGAAAAGTGATAAAGGAATTTTACCCCAGATAAGGTTGCCACAGTAGAAAAAAGACAATGAGAGGATTCCTTGCAAGACAAATAGGGAACAACGAGAACAAGATATCATGGTTTATGTTTATGTCTACAGAAAATGTTTAGTTGAAGCTCCTGTCTGATCAGATATATTTTTCAAACAAGTCACAAGCCATGGTCAAAGAAAACACAGTTACATTCTTTAGCAAGCTGCAAGAATACAACTATATTCCAATTAATAAGGAACTGGCTCATTCCAGCCTCTTGCAACTGTTCCATTACACATATCTTATTTTCCATAAATTCTGTTTTCTTTCCATGCTACATTCAATGTTAATGTACAGGACATCCTACTTGCCTTACAAGGGGTTCAGATTGCCAAGTTTCTAAGATGAAATTACTGCTGTTTTCCATTCATGTGTCATGCTACTGAGACACCCGCATCTCACCACTTACTCTTTCTTTCTGGCTGACTTCCTTTTCTCTTCATTAGCCTCATGATTGGCATCCCGTAGCTTTACCTCACGATCTGACAGACTTGCTGGAATGATGTCTAATTCTAGATCCTTGTTATCCTGGAAAAAATGTGACTTGGGTTTTAAACACATTTCTACACCTGGTTAAAGTCAACACATTACAAAGTGATGGAGATGAAAGGAATAACAATAGCACTGGAAGAAAAAGTAGGGAAGTAAAAGCTACTGATATGAATATTATGGAGGAATAAAGAACAATTTAATCTATACAGTTATTCATGACTACCAGAGAACACACCTATGGTGCATCTACCCTGCAGAAATAATGCATTTTGGCACCATTTGAATTGCCATGGCTCAACCCTATGGAATTATGGGATTTGTAATTTCACAGTTGTTATTAAAAAAAACAAAGCCAGTGGACTTGATAGGATCCCTGTTGAAATCATTAAAAACGGTGGAGCTGAGCTGACACAACAACTTCACGAACTCATTTTAAAACTGAGGGAGACTGAGAAGATCCCAGCAGATTTAAAGAGTGCCACTACCATCACCCTTTTCAAAAATGGGGAAAGAACAGGCTGTAGAAACTATCACGGTATCTCCCGTGTAACCTCTGCTAGGAAAATCTTTGCAAGAATCTTTGCAAGCTGACTTCTATCTATCTCAGAAAACATCCTCCCAGAATCCCTGAATGGCTCCCAGCCCTCCAGAGAAGCAGTTGATATGATCTTCACTGCATGACAGCTCCAAGATAAATGTAAGGAACAAAATCAACCTCTGTACATGACATTCACTGACATTGAAAAGACATTTGACACAGTGAATTGCAATGCTCTCTGGACCATGCTCTGATAAATTTGTGAACATCCTGCGGCTCCTCCATGATGACATGATGGCAACAGTCTTGGATAGCAATGGCTGCCAAAATGAACAATTTAAGGTGGCATCAGGTGTCAAAACAGGGATGTGTTATTGCCCCAACATTATTTTCCATCTTCATAGCTACGATTTTGCACATTGTTGATATCCGATAGGGGATTTCCATGCTGGTGGGAAGCTTCCCATCAACAATGTGCAACCTCAGCAAGCTGAAAGCCAAAACCAATGTCTCTTATAGAACTCCAATATGCTGATGATAATGTAGTCTATGCCCAACACATTAGCAGAAGTATGTGAAAAGCTTGGCCTCTCACTGAACATCGACAAAACCAAAGTGCTCTACCAGCAGGCACCAATCAATCCCTCTGCAATTGCACAAATACAGGTTAATAGTGTAACATTTGAAAATATTGACAATTTGTGCTACCTTGGAAGCCACCCCTACACAAAAGTCAACATCAATACTGAAGTACAACACCCTGTCTGTGCTCTGCAAGTGCAGCATTTTTTTGAATGAAGCACAAAGTGTTTGAGGATCAGGACACTCGCAGGGATACCAAGATGCTTGTTTATAAAGCTATTGTCTTCCAAACTCTGTTATACGCGTACGATACGTGGACTGTCTACAGACATCACACTTGACTTCTGGTATGATTCCATCAGCATTTCCTCAAAAAAAAATCCTGCAAATCTCTTGGGAAGACCGGTGGACAAATGTCAGCATTCTGGAAGAAGCAAAGACCACCACTTCACTGGCCACATTGTTCAAATGCCTAATCATCGTCTCCCAAGACTCAAGCTCAAGAATGGAAAACAGAATGTCAGTGGACAGTAAAAGAGATTTAAAGATGGGCTTAAAGCTAGCCTTAAAAACTGTAGCATAGACACCAAGAACTGGAAAGCTCTGGCATTCGGGCATTCTAACTTGGGGTCAGCTGTTACAAGGAGTGCTGTGGAATTCAAAGAGGCACGAATGGAGGGCAAAAGGGAGAAACATGTGAAGAGGAAGGTGCATCAAGCCAATCCTTGTAGGAACCACCTTCCATCTGGAAATTGATGTCTTCGCTGCAAAAGAATATGTGGATCAAGAATAGGTCTCTACAGTCCCTTATGGACCCACAGCCAAGACTTTATACTTGCAAGAAAATAATACTTGGCCACGAGTGATAGTCTGTAATGAGTTTCACAAGATCTCTAGCCTTTTTGCCAAATAGGGCTAGTGTCTCACCAAACTACAGTTCCCAGAATTCCATAACATTGAGCCATAGCAGTTGAATCGGTGTCAAACTGGATTAGGTTCACTTTGCCAGAAGGGAAAGGGGAACATTTTTAAAGTGTCATTCCTTTTCCCCATCCCATTTGACACCGTCTATCCATCTAATGCCTCTTTTCCACACAAGTGGAGCTCTCTTCATGAAAAGCATGAACTTCTTCATAGTAACACTGGATTACCTACTGTCACTGCATTGGGAGGGAGGTTTTGCACCTTCTACCATATTGTCCTAAGAAAATAATCTTATTTTTCTTTGCAAGATTAAATGGCAGTGTTTGATTTCTATTTCATAACAATAAATTACAGGAACCTAGTACTCCTTAATCCAGTTATTTGATTTTGGCATCTCATGCCTTGCAGTTCAATTATTTATTGAAAGAAGACAGAAGATAAATTAACTGGAAAAGAGAACCAGGTCGTCTTGCAGGAGAGGGGGGTACTTTTTCCTGCTGCAGCAGAAAGGGGAAGTAAAGGAAGTATATTCTGGGAAAGAAACTCATTATATGAAGTTAGCATCCAAGTATGCATTTACACTGTAGAATTAATGAGGTTTCACAACACTTTAAGTGCCATAGCTCAATATTATGGAATTATGGGAGTTATAGTTTTACAGAGCCTTTAACCTTGTCTGCCAAAGAGTGCTGGTGTATCACCAAACTATGACTCCCATGATTCGATTGGATCGAAGCATAGCAGCTAAAGTGATGTCAAATTGCATTTATTCGACAGTGTAAATGCATGCCAAGTCATTTGATGGTGATTTTTCTGACAGAGATTTTGCCAAATTCTCGAGGGATTAATGAATCATAAAACAAAGGTTAAAACAAAACAAAACACACAGTTCCAATTCCTCCATAAGTTCTTCAAAGGAATGTCAGCAAAACTTGTGAGTTATAGTACCTCTGTATTGATTCCAAGAGCTTTCTCCAAAGAGTAGCGATATTTCCCCATCCTCGTTGAAAAGTCTCGATAGCATTTGTCAACGGTGGTAACCCATTTCCTGATTTCAGTAGCATGAGTATGTCCTTTCTCTACAAAACTATCAGCCAGCTGAATGAGAAGCTTCACTTTCTCCTTGGTTTGCTGCTCAAAAGAGTGTTCCTCAGTTATCACACCGTGAATATTTGGTTCAGTTTCAGTTCACAAAATAGCCACATGGACCAAATTTTCTTCAAAAATACCACTTAAACTGTAGTATTTAGTACTTTCTTGAGACCTTTGTAGGTGGGATGGTATTTTTTTTAAAATCTAAAATATTTTTGAACTTGCACATTCCCTCTCAGCCACTGGGCAGGCTCCAGTTGGGTATTTATGCTAGAACCTGCTCCTTCTGACAAAATATGTGATGTTTCTCCCTCCTGGTGCCCTCCACACATCTTGACATGGGAAACCTTTTGGATAAGTTTTCTAGGGCACATGGAGGCACTGCAGGAATGAAGGAGTTGCCGATTCACAAGCAGTGAGATCTAGCTTGCTCATTCATTCATTTCTATTCCACTCTCTAGCTAAAGGTCTCAGGACAGTACACAATAAAAGCAACTCAATTAATCCAAAATAAAGTAAACATTAACATGATTTTCAACGGCTAATAGCATTTTCAATAGATTAGGTATTCACAGGGATCCTCATAGAAATTCAAAAGCAGTTTAGATTAGTGTAGAAAACAAAAATGAAATAGATGATCTCTACTACATCTAGGGGAAGACTTACAAATATGCAAGGTATCGTACAAATTTCACTGATTAACCCCTACCAACTACAGCCCTACAAGTTATATCCTTTAAATTTCTACTAGCTCTTTCCAACTCACAGAAACAGCTTTTGTCTGGAGCAGTGGTTCTCAACCTGTGGGTCCCCAGATGTTTTGGCCTTAAACTCCCAGAAATCCTAACAGCTCTAAACTCCAAATAAAGATGATGATGATGATGATGATGATGATGATGATGATGATGATGATTCTGGGTGTTGTAGGACAAAACACCCCGGGCCCCACAGGTTGAGAACCACTGATCTGGAGGATAGATAAAACTCAGGCGCTCTGTTTCCTCCAAGTGGAAATCATTTTAACTAGAATGAACTAAAAATGATGTTAGGAAGGCTGCAAAACATGGCAACAAACATAGGCAGATGCTGAAATTTAAGAGCTAAGTGCAGAAGAATATGGCTTTTTTTTTCTTTTACAATAGTTAATGCCTGAAATTATGTGACCTGCAATTGAACTTCAAGGCTATTAAGTATTTATTTTCCCACATTTATTCAGAAATAGAAGGCACGAGCAAAAAATTCCATGAATTGTTGCTATATAAATCGAAAACCGATTCTCTCTTCCTCTGATCTGTACAAAATGTCTACACAGGCACAAGTAAAAGGCATCAAACTCTATGCAGTTGTATGATTACTCATTCTTTTTTATGAAGATTTTGTTGCTGAGCAAACAATCTCAACATCAAATTCCTAAACCAGTCATAACTTTATTAATATCTTAACAGAAACCACTGAGATAATTTTTTTTAAAAAAAATCAAAAGTATGCTTCACCTTGGCAGGTACTTTGAATTCTCCATATTCTTTCAAAAGTTCCTGTGTTTCTTCTGCAGATTCTCCTGTGGAGTCGTGAGTAGAAAGATAATACTCTCCTGTTTCCTGAATCCAGTCTAAGGCCTAAAAAATTGGGGAAAACCATTCAGTAAACAAAAACAAAATGGATTGCTTGTATACACATGATCCATTTCACTGACATCTCTAAAACATGTTTCAAAATCTGCTGCAATAGTAGTAGTACCACCAACAATAAGGAAAGGAAGACTTAAGGGACAGTATGTGGAACAAGGAGTGATTATGTAAAATGAAAGACTGCGGACAATCACAGATACGTATGAAGAATAAGAATAAATCTTACATCAAAAGTTCCTAAATAGGTTTTTCAATTAGGAAGGATCAAGGGTATGCTGTCACAGATGACATTCAGGTCACACTGCAAAATTTTGCCTGCATGTCACAGTGACTTGAATTCTGCAGCTACTGTCCCTTCTAAACGCAGAGGACATGAGAGAAAATCATTTTATCCTTACTACTGTTGCCAGAATACAACAAAGAGAATACTCCATACATATGCAGTGAGAAGGGCTGCTACTGATAGATTCTGACTATATTCCTGTCTGGGTTCCATAGTTCACCCTTTTCCAATTATGCTGGAAGGAACAGTAGATAAGAGCTGAACTTAATGGACATGATACACAGGAAAGAACCATGTATGTGGTGAATTACACAACAGCAACCTTTCTTACTATATATGCATGTATGCCCCTTCAAGATGCCTGTTGATTTTGGTGCTACCCCATACATTTCATAGGGTTTTCTTAGGTAAGCCGTACGCAGAGGTGCTTTTGCTAGTCCCTTCCTCTAAATGGAACCAAGAGCACCTGGCCTACCATCCAAGTGATAACTGACCCTGCTTACTTTCCAAAGTCTTTTTAATGGGTATACAGTTTTTACTTGGAACATTACAATGTGAAATGTATATTCCTAAAGATACAATAACTAAACAGGGCCTAATTGTAAAACCTAAGATCCATGAAGACAAGAGATGAGAGCTTTGCCAAGCTACCTGTTTGGCACTGCGTTCAAAGACCACATACTGCTGGCACTGATCCAATCGCCGTTTCTTCAAGGTCCAGAAATGAAGAACACGGTTTTCTCTCTGGAGAAGCTCACTCAAAATGGCTGTGGAGGAAAGCAGGAGAGTTGTTACCCTAGTACAAGGATCCCAAGTATGGTAGTTAAGTGGATCTCAATTCATCACAGAGCTTGAGGCTCTAGATTAAAGAAACAAAACAAGACTGTAGATGACAGGCAGCTACTAACACAAGTAGTTCATTAAGTAAACACAGACATAAGGCAACATAAAAACCTACACTCTTCTTGTCAGACAATGTTTTTTCAGGTTAGGTAGAAAAATGACAAGTAAGACCAAAAACAATCTGAAAGCTATACAAATAGCAGATTAACTGTCCAGTGTTAATTTTGGAGAAACGATTTAGCATGGCACTGGAAATGTTACAATGTAGACTGCAAGAATGCCTGTACAAAAGGTGCACAACCTATGTTCCCTGGGCACGGGATGTGCAGACCTATGTTTCATGACTTCTTGATTTATTTTGCTGCTTCTGCACCACAAATGCCACTGTGAATGCAACAACGTCAGACGAGGTCTTCAGGACAGGAAAAGCCAGATAAAGGATCCTCTTCTCATCAGTGACTTTGAAGCTGCCAAAATCACTACTTTGGTACAATTCAGATTCTAGAAGAGAGATTTCTGCATTGCACTTAGTACATCTGCCTATTCATTTCTATTTTATTTATTTGTAACCATGTTATTAACTCTCGTGGCAGACATACTGAATGATCACAATAGCTCTGGCATAGAGTTCAAATTTGGAAGGTATTTGTCTTTCATATTTAATTGTATTACAGCTTTGAGACACTGGAATGCTTTCTCAAATTAATACTATGTCTGAAAAAATATTTTTCAGAATGCTTAATCCACATTATTTTCTTCTCAGAAATGGTGATGTGATAAATTACAAAATTACCACTTGGTTTTTTGTACATCTTCTATTTTCCCCCATTTGACTAAGTAACGTAGGAATAAACTATATAACACATTTTACTCATCCATGGTATCTTATTTTGTCTTTTTAAAGCTATAGACAATGTGATCCCTCTTGTCCAGTATTGGTCAAAAATTATTTAGCCGCTTGTACTCCTATTTTTATCAGTTTTTAATTTATGTTTGCAATGCTTTTGACAGGAAATAAAAAAAACTCAGCAGTTCAGAGTCTTGATCAATAAGCTGCATTTTGACACACAAGTTTTTCTGGACATGTTAACCATACTACTAAAGATAGCTAATTTTCTGATAAACCATTAAGCTGGTAGCTATCAAAGCCTATTTGCAGGGCACTTTTAATTATAATGAAGATTTTACTGTTGGAACTCTTTAAGAACTGAAGGCATTCAAGATAGATTTTATGGTTTATCAGACAATCTTAATAACTCCTGCTTTAAAGGTATCCTGTAGCTATTAATGTCTGAATTATCTATAGAATAATGGAAGGTTTGCTACTACAGAAGATAACACATCGATAATTTCTATATGAAAAATTTCTGTAAACTCATTGTCCACATTTCTGAGCCAGTAAAGGGAGAGGGGGAGATAACATGCAATATTCTAGCATCACACAATTGTTTTCTAATCTTACTATGTTCAACACGACAGATAGAAGGCACATACATTTGTCACGATCACAAATGGCAAATATTTAATACATTTCATCTACTCTAAGCAAATTTCTTTGGTGAGAAGGAACAGAGACAGCAAGTGCACACTGTATTTCTAAAGATCACCCTGCCTTTGCATTGCCACTTCTCTTGAAGAGCACACTGACCTTTTACTTGCTGCTCAGGTCCCCTCGTATGGCTTACTACCCCAGGCATGCTGACGTTGTTTCGGTGAATGTACTTGAGAAACACTTCTGCATTCCTTCGTGCCAGTGTGCAGGCCTATGGGCAGCAAAAAACACCCCCCAAACATAATAGTTACCCTTTCGACAAGTGGATAAGAAAATACAACATCAAGAAACCTACTGAACTGTGACATGAGCTTTTTTTATTTGACCTCTGAAAGATGCTGATGTGCATGACAAAACACTGAGAGAGCGTCAGAAGCAGTCACACACATCCATCATCTTGGAGATGGCTTGCGATAAGAAAAAATGCTACATGGAAAAATTGGCTGATTCTAGCAGAAAAGCAATAGTATAAGAGCCTAACAGATGGTGATAGATCTAAATCTTTATTGTAGGAGATGCTAGTTGATTTCTCCTGGAGTATATGCCTTCAAAATTGTACCATGTGTATGCTGTCACTTTGAAAAACAATGAATTGAGGATCGCTTGTAGATGCATATGCAGCATAGTTTGCTGTGGTGTGGCACTGGGGAGGGGGCAGCATAGCAAAAAAAATGCCTGTTACTTCCTGCCATAATTTCTTTGCTACCCAATATAAAATGATAATAAATAGCATCATTCTAATGAGACTCTCAAAATTGGCTGGCATCAGTTTTGACAAGACAAAGGTGAAGTCCCTCCCAGCCCTGAATTCATTTAAACTGGAAATGCCTGGTAATGAATCTTGATTTGTATAATGCAATACATGTGCTTTAACCACAATCTAACAACAACAACTTGTGTGTTACCCGTCTGTCTTCATGGTTTGAAGCAGGGCACAACACAGTCAGTTATAGCCTCAAAATTGAGAACTAGGAGGAACCAAAGCAGGGAATAGGGTACAAAATATGCATGTTGGGGACTTTACTATCTACATACAGATACAGTGTAGAAAACAGATAAGGAGAAAACACGAAACTTCAATTGCCCTCTAATTTGGCAGCTTATCTCCTCCCTCGCAACCCCCCAGCCCCAGTTATGAAAACAAGTGCACAGCTACCTAGAAATCAAAAACTACAACCATCTTTCCAAAGCCATATTCGGCAATGCTTAACTACACTCCTTCATTTTAATAGACAGTCTTTTCATAGCATAGTCAGTTAATTGGACATAGAATATTGTTTGTGTGTGTGTGTGTGTGTGTGTAGGGGGGCAGTATTATTTCACAATGCTCTGTCCTGGTGACACATCAGAAGTCAATTCATAAAAATGTTGTTCATGTGAGTAAGTTATTTTCGTTTCAGGAGTACAATCTTGAAACAATTTTGTAAAAGATCTATTCCTTTGTAGGAACTTGTAATTCTTCAGTGGACTGAAAAGGAAGGAGCTGCTGCAAATTGAGAAGCACTTGCACAACTGGTACCCATTTTTGCTTTTTTGGAGCTGACTCAGAAAACAAAGAAACCCCTACAAAACTCTATTCTTGATGTGGGATGTCTATAGGCTGTCCATTCATGAGGCTGTTCCAGAAAGAATGGACATCTGTACATAAAGCATAAGCTGTGCTGGTTCTCACTACTATAAAATAATATGTAAATACACTTTTGTTCTATAGGGATATATAGGCATACAGTTCATAATTTGCATTTGGTCTAAACTGATTCCCACCCAAGGATCATTGCCCAACTACTTTCACAGTAACTACTACTTATGGAGAGGAATAGGGTAGACCTTGAGAAAGGCTTCCTTTTGTTCCAGGTGTTTGCTGATTAAGGGGATAACATGATCTATTTCAGATGCTGGTCCAAGCTTATCCCGACCTCCACACCAGTCTTCATCCCTTCGATACTCCTGTTCCAAGCTCTCCAACACACTGCAGACCTGAGACACGAGGCAGCACAAAATAGCTCAGTTATTTATTTATTTATTTATTTATTTATTTATTTATTTACTTTGCTTGTATACCGCAATTTCTCAGCCTTGTAGGCGACTCAACGCGGTTTACAACAAGAGCAAAAGTCAATCCAACAGCATACAAAATTTAAAAACCATTAACAGCATAATATACAAAATGACACATCAATAACAACACATTAACGTCTCGTAACTAGAATCGTGATCCAATTCGTCTTCCATAATTCCGTTTCCTATATTCATCGTGTACATTGCAATTGTTTAACCGAACGCCTGTTCGAACAGCCAGTTACAAAAACTACTTGCTGATGCAGAAATGATATATTACAAATGAATTAACCACTTTCATTTAAGACAGCTTCATAGGTAACATTACATGGGATTCTGAACTGAGGACATGTTAGGATAAGAAAACAATTTTTAGACTACAGATTCCATCAATCCCAAGCAGCAATGCTTGTTATGGGTTGATGGGAATTCCAGTCCAAAACCTTTGAAAGGAAACACTGAGCTAAGTCATACAAACTGCCTTTATCTGAAATATTTGTTTTCTATTACATTTTATAATTGTATGGAAATTTATTCTGTTGTAATTTGTTTTTTAAGCCTACGGGGATAATTTGTTTTTGGCTGCATATTTCATGATATAATAAACCTTCTGCTATTTATTCCAATATTTTAACTACAATAAAATTTTAAAACATAAGAAAAAATAAAACCTATAATAATAGTCATAAACAACACAATATGAATATTGCAATATTAATATTTATAAAAACATATAAGTTCCTGAAAAACGAGGCTCTCTGGCCAGGTTGTAGGTCTATAGTGGAAGAGGCTTGATTCCTAAAGTTTATCTGCACTATATTTGATTAACAGGACCTCTATGGAAGAAAAATATCTTGTCTTGTAGATAATAGCCATACCTGGTCTCATATGAGACCACTATTTTTAGTTATCTAGATGGTAAAGGTAAAGATAAAGCTTTCCCCTTTAAGTCTAGTCATGTCTGACTCTGGGGGGTGGTGCTCATCTCAATTTCTAAGCTGAAGAGCTGGCATTGTTCATAGCTGCCTCCAAGGTCATGTGGCCAGAATGACTGCGTGGAGTGCTGTTAACTTCCCACTGGAATTGTACCTATTGATCTACTCACCTTTGCATGCTTTTGAACTGCTAGATTGGCAGAAGCTGGGGCTAACAGTGGGAGCTCACCCTGCTCTGTGGATTCAAACCACAAACCTTTCGGTCAGCAAGTTCAGCAGCTCAGTGGTTTAACCTGCTGAGCCATCAGGGGCTCCTTATCGAAATAGAGGAACCCCCTTTTTTAGGGGAAGGGAGCCAACATATTTAGAGATTGTTCTGAGCTGGCTAAACCACATTCTTGAGTAATGGGACTATGGTGATTTGTCCTATGAGGAAGGGTTATAAACTTTAGAACTTGAATTTAGCTTAGGAAAAAAACCAAGTAACTGGAGACATGACAGAGATGTATACAACTATGCCATATGTGTGGGAAATAGACCAGCTTTTCACCCTCACTCACAATACAATATAATTATATTGTGGAATGTACAACTACATGATGTAGTGATGACTGTTAACTGATAGTTTGTAAAGGGGATTAGACTAATTCATGGAGCACAATACTATCAATGGCCACTAGACAGGATATCTATATATCATGTCAAGGATCTGATGTATTATGCCTCTTTATATCAGTTGCTGAGGAATGTGGGCTCTTCTAATCATATCCTAGTCATGAACTTTCATGTGTAGCTGGTTAGCCATTATATGGCTGGAATTCTTAACAAGATAGACTTTGTTTGATCTACAGTCTTTTGTAGGTTTCAGATGTGTTTTAATACAGCATGGATAATCTGGAAGTGGCTTGAAAATAGTTATCAATGGTTTAGGATCAACTCTTCAGGAAAATGCTGGCTTTCCAATGGAGGCTTTTCCTGTAAGAATTTCTTTCACATAAAATAATTGATGTGAAAATGGTTCAGTGGTAACACTGAAACATAACCCACTATGATTTCTCCAAAGGGGAACTAGGGGAACTTTTGGAGAAGTTCACAGGTCAATGCACAGTGGAAAAGGCTAAACTCTATTAAGAACCTCTTTTGGCAGAAAGGTGGGTTATAAATAAAATCTTTTTGTCTCACAGTGAAGGGTTCTGCAGGTAGAGTGGGTAACAAATCTTCACTGCTCACTTATTATCATCATTGTCATTGTCACTTGTGTTGCTTTGGTAATCCTGCTTTGTAATCCCAGGCCTCATGGCATTAATAATGGAAGGAATGGCACTCTGGAAGTGGGGGGATGGCTCCCCGACCTTCAAAATTGTGTGATCTTAATCTACATCCTGGTCTACAAACTAGGTGCTAATCGATGCTACCTCATAGAATTCATATAATTCAACATATTGTATGGGGACATTCATAAATACATAGAAGAATAAAGAAAGCAAACACTATATAGATAAGGCACTGTCCTGCTGACCTGCTCTGATGTTTTGTAAAAGGCAACGGAGGCATTGACCAGCTTCAGCCTGTCTTCCATCTTGAGCATGAGTTGCTGCCAGTGCAATGCCACCTTCTCTGCACATTCCCTGATGGCATCGGCATCATAGTGCCCAGCCTGCAGCAACACCTCTGCCTTCTGTTGTACTTGGAGGGCACTTTGGTGTGTCTTCTGCAAGGAAGTGGCATGAAAGAGGGACTGTGCATGAAGGGAGGAAAGAGAGATTTGTGTAGATGTGCCAGGCAAATGGAATAATGATATGATGTCAGGCATGAGCATGAAAATGTGAGAAAATAAAACAACTTAGAGTGAGTTCCAGAACTGACAGATTCTCTTCATTAAGAATTTTATAGATAAACCATCTTGTGTGTTTTTATTATTTAGATATCAATATTTAATTCCTACTTTTCTATAAAACATGCATAGGCACTGCTTACAAAGGAAAAGAATGTTGACATTACTGATAATTTGCATAACACTTCTAATATATTCTGTCCTTTAAAATGTTTGGATCCCTGCCCCCAACAAGTCTGAGCAGTACTAAAGTTCATTTTTAAGAAACAAAACAAAGGATACAGATTTTCATTCATTGTACTGAATCCATCTTTGCTACCTTAACCACTAAACCTGACAATGAGCAAGGGAATTCCTTTAAACACACTATTCTATATTGTAGTATACCCCTCCAATAATAATAATATATTACAATATATTATAATATAATAATAAATGCTTCTAGTTGCGGATGGCTACTAAGCTAAGAAAAATATATTTTAAAAAACCCAAAGAAGACATTAAAGGATTTTGAAAGAAATGGTCAATTGTGACTAGTTTTTTTCTTGCTTCCCTGCTTTTGCAGATACTGGTAATATACTGAGACTTTAACCACTATCAATATTTAATTTAGTGTTTCCCTCCCTGAAATGTTCCTTCCAAATGGCACCACATGTTAAATTTAAGCTGTTTAGTTAGTGTTATTTTTTCAAAAAATAAAATCAGGGAAAAAGTTAAATCAAATAAGCAAATTCTAGCTAATGCCAAGACAAAGAATAGAAAATAGCTACTATTGTCCAGCTAGTTCACATGTGACAATAAAGTATGGTTGCTCAAAGGATGGAGCTGTGGCTACATGTCCTCCTCCGAGGTTTTTTTATGGTCCTAAACATGCTCATAGTCACCCTTTGGACCATTTTTTTCCAAGCCAAATCAAAAGAATAAACTGCCTTTTCTGAGAGCTTCCAGGAATAGAAAAACAGCATTTAATAGATCACACCCCATCCATTCAATCATTTAACACTAAGAACTGATGTCTTCTGTGGTTTGTTTGGGGTTATTTTGGGCAGTTTTACACTCTCTGTGAACCCCAGTGGCAGGAAATTAGCTTTCAGATTGATTGCATTTGCCCATCTCTGCAATAAAAGGAATTCTGAGGCTATTTCTGCTAATTTTTTGGACTGAAAGCAGAAGAGAGCCTTGTTTACATTGGCTGTATGCTCTAGTCAATGTAAGCTTTAATGTCACATTGCATATTACTACAGCAAACGAATAGCATTTGTTTCTACATTTCTAGCTTTCTGTTGTATTTGGGTTTGGAATATGCTTCTATGGCTGATGAAAATGGCCATAGAATGGGTGGGTGTGGGTATAGCTAGGGCATATATTTCTGAGGGTTTTCCCATTCTAAAAAAGTTTGCATTTATCAAGGGGAACTAAGGATTATATGGGTCAGGTTCAAGCAGTGGTATCTATCACCAGTCACCACACTCTAGTGCAGTGGTTCTCAACCTGTGGGTTTCCAGGTGTTTCGACCTACAACTCCCAGAAATCCCAGCCAGTTTACCAGGTGTTAGGATTTCTGGGAGTGAAGGACAAAACATCTGGGGATCCGCACGTTGAGAACCACAGATCTAGGAGGATCATGCATCTGATGTAGGAATATATGCTGGTTTCTTTTCCATTTAATATCTCCTTCTTAGCATATTATAACCCAGGTGTCCACAACAGGACAGAAAATACCATATCTCATTTTTAGGATAAGAGGTTCTACTTCTTGGAAGTAGGGCAAGGAATGGACTTGGTGTGTTATATGGCTGCATTAAGAATAAAGTCCTGGGTTGGCTGCAACTCAAGTAGATTTCACCTTATTCTTGTGGTATGATTGGATCCATTTCTGTGGGACTGGATAAGCTTATTAGCTTCCTAGGGTGAGGTGTTTTTTGTATTTTCCCACCTCCAACAATTCACATTTTCTCAGTGACCAAGCTGGCAAGCAAATTGAGGAGGAGAACTGACCAACAGGTTAGCTCACTGACAATTAAATCCATGATCTAATCAGAGCCAAATTATACAGAAACTATAAATAGTAAACTTTTGTGGCCATTTCATCCTATTGCAAACCATTGCTGTTGTTTATCCCCCAACCCCATCTCTCTTTCTCATCTGTACCCATAGCCACAAGATGGGAAATCTTGACTTAGACAAGTTAGTGGAAATTCCAAGTTATATTAAATTCAAAGCCTTCTCTTGAAATTCAAAGCCTTCTGCTTAAGTATGGGATTTAGCTATTTTGATTAAGCACACAGGGAATATAAAAAATGAAAAGGAAAACTGAACAAATCTGGGGAAAGTTCAAAACTCTCTTCAATTTATTTTCTTATATCAAGTTATTTCTGAAATATCATATTATTTATTATATATTTGTTACTTTGATGCATCTAAAAAAATACAATAATAATTTTAATACAACACAACATAAACATTACTTCTCTGTGCCAGTGTGAGTAACTCTTTAACAACTACATTATTTTAGAAAGTTGCCAGGATGAATCTTTGGGGGGAGGGGGGTGTCCAATCTGTTTTCTTTTACCACCATAAATTCTGAATTAGGGGAAAACATAGAGCAGCCCAGTTCATGAAATTCGTACATCATGCTGGAAAAATAACATTGTTCATCTATGTTCATCAGTGCATAAATTTTAGATGCACATAATTGGCTATTCTAATCTCTTGTCTTTCAATTTACTGCAATGAATCAGATCTGTACTTTTAAGTCTTTCTTTTTTCCTTTTGTTGAGGCAGGAAAGGAGGAATGTGTTTTCTATCTATTTGCTGCCAGCCAGTAAGACCAAGTTTGTAAATTGTTCACAGGCTTCTACCAGTACTGTTGCCTATCAAAGCCTAAAAACACTGGGCAGGATCCAGTGCTCGAATTCCATTGGCAGAATAGCAATTTTGGATGCACCACAAAAACCTTCTCTGAAGGGCTGGGAACCCCTGAATGCTAGAAGGAAACGGGGAGTGCAGGAGAAGGGAAAGAATCAAAAGCATGGTGAAGAGAATGAGAAGCATTTTCATCAGTATTAAGGTTTCATGGGAAGAGAGTTAAGAGTTCAGATCACCATTCAGATTATGCCTAGTCATATGGCATCATTTTTACCCATTTGTGAGTGGAAAGAAAAAAGCAAATACAGTAAGTCCATTAATGTTACCTCTATGGCCAGCTGGAATTGCTCATGCTCTCTCTGGAGCTGTTCAGCTTCTGACAAGGAGCTTGCATTGACAAGGCTGGCATTAAGCATTGATTCTCCATTCCTAATCCAGCCAAGGACCTGGCAGAAGCAAAGGAAGAGATTTTAAAAGACACATTGAAAAATCATTTTAAACTTCTACATGATACTGTTAGAGGAAGTCATCCAGAGGTTTTTGGCAGGCAGAAAATGAATTTGTGGATAATACCCAACTTTAATTTGCATTTCTATGCACTTCTCCTAGAGGCACTGCAGACTTTTTAAAATTATAAGCTTTTACAGGGTGGGTGGAAGGATGAACAACGTTAAACTCAATCTGGACTAGATGAAAGTACTTTTGGCAGAGACACAGAGTACTCTGAGTGAAGCTTTTCAACTGATATTAGGTTGATATTTCACCAAAGTGAACTCTCTAATAACTGGGAAAGCTCAGATGAAAACCCACAAGACACTGTGGAAAAGAATATCTGTGGCCTGTAAGAAAAAAATCCCAAATTGAACATTTTTTGGTCAGCTGCACCTAGAGTAACCATCTTGCAGCTGCAGAAACACTCAAGGGCCAATCTTAATTTTTATAACATTAAGCCTGATGGTATTTGGAGGAATTTAAACAGTTGTACACTTATGTAAGATTTCACTTATGCACATTAAAGGTACTATCTGTTTCTGATTCTGGGGAAATGAAAGGTGGTGAGTATACGAGTAGTCTCAACAACAGATATTTGGCTGTGCTGTGTACCTGCTCAGCTAAATGTTAAGTGAAGGTAGAATGGATGTTGGGTCTAATAAGGAATCAGTCTAATAATGTTTGTTGACACTGCAAGTGTTTTCCATGCTCATCATTTGCCATCACTGTCTCTACTGGTGCTCATGTTAGTCTCTTAAATTTTGGAATCTCACATATATGCTCCAATCCAGCTGAATAAAAGCAACTGCTTGAAAACAATGTGAAACCATAGTTACATGCTGGGACTACTTTAACTGGAGATTTTGCACTGAGAAGGGAGTTGGACTCAATGGCCCATGAGGCCCCTTTCACATTTACGATTCAATGTTTTGGAATAAAGGGCTAAGGCTGGGTCTACACTGGCATACAATGAAGTTAAGATGCCTTATATGGGTCTATACCAGTGGTTCTCAACCTGTGGGTCCCCAGGTGTTTTGGCCTACAACTCCCAGAAATCCCAGCCAGCTTACCAGCTGTTAGGATTTCTGGGAGTTGAAGGCCAAAACATCTGAGAACTCACAGGTTGAGAACCACTGGTCTACACAATGTAATTCCAAAATGCATGATATAGCAGTGAAGATCTAGTCTTAAACCATCTTTACTGAAATGACTGGATTATATACAGAAAGGCAGCCTACTTTGTAGATGCTGGCTCAAATCACACAAATAATTTAGTACAATAATTCAATTTTTTAAAAACAGAAACAAGCATAGAAACAATATTTCTCTTTTTAAAAACACAACTGTTTCTAAACAAGATAGCACAGCTTGAATGTTAGGGCTGGGGAATAAGTCACAGAACCAAATTAATGTTATTCCTTGAGGTGAAGCTATCTTGTCAACATCAATCTATCTTATTATGAGTACACATTTACAGTTAATATAGGAAGAAAGTAAAGACTAGCAGGAATGGCTGTCAGGACCTTCTAAAACATATAAGGGAAATGCCATATTCAGCTTTAGTTTTTATATTTTATAAACCTATTCAATTTTCTATGCTCAAACTGATACATTAAATGTGTGGGATGCATTTTGGCTCCAAGGGAACGTTAATATATGGATGCGGAACTCATGGGATCAATAAAGGGGCATATTTTTATTTGCTTCCTTGATACCAGCTGTGTAACGGTTTGACATTATATCTCAAAGCACCTCTACATACCTCTGATGGCTGGAAACTTACTTCATGATTTTAATTGAAAGAGAGAGTCCTAAGATTTTAATAAGTGCCTGTGGGTCACATAAGAGAGCCTTGGGCACCACACGTGGCTCGCTTGCCATCTGCCATCTGTAGTTTAATGGGGAAGAATGCAACTTATTTCTGAAAATAATGTCCCAAGTTGGATATTTACACTTCTGGGCATATTTTTCTGAACCTCTTGGAATAAGTTTTCATGCTAGTTCGAAAATAAGGTTTCATTATTTACAAAACATCAGTGTTTTTTCCTTTTCATGTTCTATCTATTGTAGAAACTGATGAATGTACTGTATATCACCATCAGATGCAACCTTTAATGCATGATCAAATGTTGTTCATGCTATGCAGGGCTTTGAAATCTAATAGCTTTGGTTCAACAGTTTTCCTGCAACCCACACATCTATTCCAATTGTGATTCATCAAACTGCCTTTAAGAAAAACTCATTTTTCTGTCATGGTAGCATTTTTAAAATAGCAATTGCAACCCTTCAGAAGAAAGAAATTAGTTGACATTAGATGAAAACAAAAAGATGCATCTATTGCACCTAAATGGTAAGAAACAAAATAAAATGAAATATTCTGTTTGGTTCAGCAGTTGGGTTAACCTTTTTCATTTTCTGGAATCTCCCTTTCAACAGTACGTGGTATTGTGGTGAAGAAAGGACCCTTGAGATTCTAAAGCACATTATGGAGCTTTCATCCTTCAACCAAAATACTGAAATATCGGACTGGTGCTTTGTGCACGATATAAAAGCATGTACTGTACAATTAACTGGAACAAATGAATGACCATGATGGCTCGTCATGATCTAATGCGGGAATTTTGCAACAGGCACTTTCCTATTTAACACTGTTATCCCAGGAAGCCGACATGCCTGAGAATTTTAGAAGACTGACTGATTTTCCCATGGCACAGACAAAGTTTACCCTGTGGGGTTGGAAGTCACCTAGCAGTAAATGTGATCATATGTTATTTATATAGCACTATTGGCGCACATAGAATTTTCTAGCAGAAACAAAGCAAAATAGGAGCGCTGTTCCAAAAGACCTACATCTAAAGATTAACAGACTATAAAGAACAAAGGCCAAAGAGCAGCCGCATGAGGGGAGGAAGATGGCTCCATGCTGACAGTCATTTTCCCTTATCACATATGGCACAGATTTCCCAGCTTATAAGTTACTTCCATACACAACTACAACAATACATTGCTATATCATCTTTTAAAAAGCCTCTGATGGTGCAATGGGTAAAACCTGTGCTGGCAGGACTTAAGACTGACAGGTCAGAGGTTCAAATCTGGGGAGAGCATGTATGAGCTCCCTCTGTCAGCTCCAGCTCCCCATGCGGGGACATGAGAGAAGCCTCACACAAGGATGGTAAAATATCAAAACATTCAGGTGTCCCTTGGGCAACGTCCTTGCAGATGGCCAATTCCCTCACACCAGAAGTGACTTGAAGTTTCTCCAGTCATTCCTGACACCAAAACATCAACAAAAAACAAAAAAAAAACCCTTTAAATACATTTTTGTAGAAAATGCTGCTGGGGCAATGAACACTGCGGAACCTTGAAAGCAAACAGAATTACTTAGGACACATCTACACTGAACACTTAAGGGCTTTCTTTCACATGCTTATGTGGGTCCTTGTTGTTTAGCCACTGCAGTTTGAAGCTACCTCGATATAGACGGGGTTTTGTGGAAGGGAAGGGAAAGGGGGAAAAGTAGTTTCTTTCAACAAAACTGATGGTTTCCCAGATTTGTTCTGCATATGAGACTGGTGGCTACTGGGCTGGGGAGAGCAGGATGCAGTGATCAACAATTAAAAAATAGAAAGGAAAGAGAATAAGCTAAAAGAATCCTTTGCTTAACAGAATGTCATCTGGGTCCTTTTAAAAAGGCAAGAAAAGAAAAACCAGTAAGCATAGCAACCATGATATTCCTGATACATTTGGCCTGTTTGGATGTGCCCTGTGTCTAGGCAGTTTCTTGCTCTGTCAAACAGCACTATTTTATGTGCAGTACAACCACCATATCAGTGGGACTGATATCCACAGTTTACTTTATCCATGTCCAACAAAATAGGTCCTCTCTAAGCATGTTTTAGTTCCTCCTGTGTGACTCTACACTTTTCATGTGCCAGATGTTCTTCATCTTAATAAGGTTCACTTTTGCTGCAATTTTACATGTCCATGCAAAATCCAGGAGCATATCCTGTGTGGATACAGAGATCATGCTGTAATTTCTGATTTCCCTCATTCCATCCAGTTAGTTTGTTTCAGAACAAAGAAATAATAACCAACATCACCACTATTCCATTATTATGGGAGACACAGTACAACTAATCAATACCAAGCATATAGAATGTGCTTGGTCAAATTGTCAGCTCCTTCATGATCAATACTTTTTCTGACTGCTTTTTACTGACTTAAACAGACACAAAGAGTAAATGAAGAGTGAAAAGGATTACAGTAAATTATCATGGAGAGCCTTTAGTTTTAGAACTCAGGGACAGATCTGAGAATCAATCTGAAATCATTAAATGAAGCCTGTGATAATTTGGTAACTCAGAGCTTAAGGGTCAGGATGTAAATCAGCAGGGATGGAAAATTCACCTATGCTTAATTTCTTGATTTATACTGATAACCTCTTTGATAAGCAAGATTCCTCTCACAAAACCCTTAAACTGTTCCATACAACCAGATGGTCTGGATTTGTAACATAAATTGCTAATTAGTATGGCAGTAGCTAACAACCTATAGGAGATGACAGTGCACAGATCATGGAAGGGAAATATCCCTTCAGTTTAAACCTAATTTGATTCGCAAACTGTTTTAATAGTCCAAAAAAAGTAACATTCTTTTGGTCTGGGACTTCCTCAGCTTTAACAGGCATTTCCCCACCTAGCTCTGCACCAATTAAACTGATAAATTACGCTATTTATTTCCTATACCATGCCACAAGATCCCAACAAGTAAATTTAACCTCGAAAATACATGCTCAAATACAATCCTACTCTTCCCCCTTTCTGTCCTGACAGCCAGGTGATAGGAGCATGGGTGAGAGAAGGGCCTCAGAAAAATGGAAAAGGTGTGCGCTTTTTGCTTTTCTGAATTTAAAATGTTGGCAATATTTTAAAGGCAAAATATTTCTTCAAAA